ATATGTGTACAAAAGTGTTTAAAAGGGAAGAAATTCCTTCAGCTAAATTGCCCCAGATCTCTTCATTATCAAAAGAAGGTGTTTTAGCATTAACCTTGGCCAGAACCTGAGATTGTAGTTTTAACACACCCAAAGAAGCATTATGAGAAGGATCAAGTCCCATTAGGTGATGCATATATACTTTGAATTGAATCTCAGTGTCATTATATGGAATTCTAGGAACCCAAAAGTGGGTAATATTATAATGACTTTGGCGTCTCTGAGCCCATTGTAAATCTTGTACTTGTTCTCCTAGCCATATAATAGAATCTTTTAGTTGTTGAATTTTGTTCAAATTTTCCTAATCAATGTGTACTTGAGTTTGCCAGGACTCAGTAAAATTCAAAAGCCATTATCCCAGCCAAGATAACAATGCCAGCTATTAGCTACCAGGTGAAATGTTGAGCACTTTTACAGGGAGTCAATAGATACAGGCTTTTTTTTTTTTTTTTTCCGGTACTGGGGATTGAACTCAGGACACTCGGCCACTAAGCTGCATTTCCAGCCCTGTTTTGTATTTTATTTAGAGACAGCATCTCACTGAGTTGCTTAGTGCCTTACTTTCGCTGAGGCTGGCTTTGAATTCACTATCCTCCTGCCTCAACCTTTGGAGCTGTGGGGATTACAGATGTGTGCCACTTTGCCCAGCTGCTACCAGCCTTTGAGAATCATAACAGTTTGTTTTGGGCTCTGCCATATGATTCGATTGACACTATGCTGCAACATACAGTTTTTACATTTAAATATATATATATAGTGTGTGTGTGAGGCATTATATTGTATTTGAATGGGCCCAAATAATACAACAGAGATTTATTTTATTTTTTAAGAGAGAGGGAGGGAGAGAGAGAGAGAGAGAGAGAATTTTAATATTTATTTTTTAGTTATCGGCGGACACATCTTTGTTTTGTATGTGGTGCTGAGGATCGAACCCGGGCCGCACGCATGCCAGGCAAGCGCACTACCGCTTGAGCTACATCCCCAGCCCCAAAACAGAGATTTAATATACATGCTGTGAGATAGAATTCCTTATGAAAGGAAATATTAAGATGGGTAACATTTTTTAAGCTTATTATATTGAGAATCACTGTCCCAGACTCAAAAAGGCTGCTGAGTCAGACTTATTTGTCATATTCCAGGTGGTCCTGGAGCCATTTAACCTTGTCTCTTACTATTCCTTACTGGTTTGCATAGAAGTAGCATTCTTTCCTGACTGGTTTTGCAGAATAACAGGTGCCAGGGAGTCCAATTGATTTTGTAAAGTCAGTACCAAATTGGTGACCTGTTGGATATCTGCAATAATCTATGCTAACTATTTTTATAGTGAATAGAGGTTCCTAATCCCTCTGCTCCAGTGCCAATCCTGGTGGGTGTTTTTGCTCTATGAGTAAGGAAATCATTTGGGGGCTTTCCTATGTCTGGTGTGTGCTGTTATTAGAATAAGTAGGCTTTGGTCGTAGGATAAAATGCCAGTTTGAAGAGTAAGGAAAATTAAGGTACAGAGGCCAATTTAATTTTGGTAGGCAGGGATAAATATGAGGCCGGCAAAGGAAAAACTCAGAATTTGGGGGGCATCAGGGCTGTGGAACTGACACAAGTATACATCTTAAAGTTCTGTTCAAAAGAACTATTGTTTTTCTTTTAAATGCCCAAGTATAGCTATACTTTGGTTATAACTGTTTTTGCTAGGTGTTTAAGATCAAGCTGGTCAAATTGACCTTGTTCTATGTGTTGTTAAGAGTCAGCTGATGGGCTGGGGATGTGGCTCAAGCGGTAGAGCGCTCGCCTGCCATGCCCGGGTTCGATCCTCAGCACCACATACAAACAAAGATTGTTTGTGTCCGCCGAAAACTGAAAAATAAATTAAATTAAAAAAAAAAAAAAAAGACTCAGCTGAGTTCCCTCAGGGGTCATTCTTGGGGAACTTGAGAGCAACTTCTTAGTCTTTTAGTGTCATCTGCTTGCTAGGATGGATTAGGGTCTCCTTGATGAGGTGGCTTCCCTTTGAGAAACTGATGTGACTCCATTTTTGAGAAACCAGCCTCTACCTCAGAACAAAGCCTGTCCAAGGAAGAGGGCATGACCCTTGTCCCTGGAAAAACCCACAGAGCACTCCTAAGCACATACCCACCCTGCTGAGTTGTTTGTCTACAAATAACAGGAGAGATCTGCGGCACCAGGTGTCCCTGACTCAGTTAGGCTAGGTGAGGACCCATAGCAACCCCCTAGCAACCACCAATCAGCATGAGACAGGGAAAATACCTGGGATGCCAGATGACCCCCCAGTAGTTTATGGTGGTTGATAACATGTTGGGAAAACATGTAGTTTAGCACGTACACCCCTCGTGGCTTAAACCAATCAGTTCAAATGAATCCCCCTCTTGTACTAACCAATCATCCCTACCCAACTTGTTCCCGCCAGTGAATGTGCTAATCAATGTTAAGAGTTGTTGTTTGACTTTTCCACAGTGTGGAATGATTTGCTGTTTGATGTTGTGACGCATAGAGTATCCCCCCAGAACCTATAAAATCTCACTGAACAAAGGACCAGGACTCACTCCCTGGGACCGCTGCGTCGGAAACAGTTGTGAGTCCAGGCTCGAGCTTGCAATAAAGACTCTTGTGTGATTGCATGGGATTCGGCTCCTGGAGGTCTATTGGCGTCCCACGAATCTGGCATTATACCAACACCAAGTCACCAATGATCCTCCTCTTTGCAGCAGGTGCACTGATTGGCTTTCCATTCTCTAGTGGGCTCATTAATCTCCCTGATCAGGAGTTCATGTGGACCAGAGTTGCAAAACCCCTTATAGAAGTTCTCTCTCATTCCCAGGATTCAGGCTGACTCAGGGCAAGAGCCAAATATTGGTTTTCTTGGATCTTTAGTTTTATCCTTTGTTAGGATGGCCTTAGGCCTGAGCCTAAGCAACTCCATTTTTAAAATTCCAGTTTGAAACCTGCAGTCTCACCAGGCACATCCAACAGAGCCCTCCAGATGGCCTCAAACAAGTTACTTCCCCTCACCCTGATAAACAGAGTGAAGCCCCTGGCAGGCTGTCCTTACCTGATAAGAGGAAAAGGCAAGGGGGCTGGGGATGTGGCTCAAGCAGTAGCGCGCTCGCCTGGCATGTGTGCGGCCCGGGTTAGATCCTCAGCACCACATACAAACAAAGATGTTGTGTCCGCCGAGAACTAAAATAAATAAATATTTAAAAAAAAAAAAAAGAGGAAAAGGCAAGAAGATAAGGGTGGAGACCACCAGACCAGATGTTTCTGACCCCAGGGTAAATGTCACTGAGAAATCCCGTGGTAGCTGATAAGAATTGAAAGGGGGGTCAAAAGCCCCAAATTTTAGTATCAATGATAGAGCAAATGAACAGGGGATTCAGCCAGCCGAAACAAGGATGCACTCCAGCTGGAGAGCCTGATGAGGACCTGACATCCCTTCACTTGTCATCCTTCCTGAGCCTCTGCATGTTCCTCACCGCTCTCAAACTCTATGGCCTCTTCTGGACCTTGGTGAGAGCAGCAACTCCTCCCTACGACCCCCTCCTCAACCAGTCGTCCATTCCCTGCCAGGAAAAGCCTGCCTTGGTTCCCGACCTGATCACCGCCATCTGAGTGAGTGTGCATCTGCTGGACGTGAAGCCTAAGGCTTGAGACTTTTGAACTTAGGATGCAGAGGGAATATCTGTCATTAGCCTGTCATGATAAGTGTGTTTTGCAGTGCTTAGAATTAATCTAAAATTGTTTGCTGTGAATTGATTTTGTCTATTGCAGTGCCTAGCATTAAAGATTGTTGTTTTCTTGATTAAGAACCTATAGAGTGAAATTGTGTTGAGTAATTTGAGTGAATAAAGCATTGAAAGGGGCAGAAGCGCATGGACATTGTTTATTTCTCCCCTCGACTGCATACATCACAATTTTGCCCCCTCGTGACATCCTTAATCTTTTAGCCTTGGTCATAAATATCCAGCAAGCCAATCTCACCAGTCTTAGAGTAAGAGTACTGGGCTTTAATTTCAATGTCTATAACCTTACAGTCATTTACCCTTTTTATTTAATTGGGGTTCTTATTAGTACTGGAAGTTAGCCTTATATCCTATCTGTCCTGTAGGTGTTGCTTATTATCTCAAATTAACCCAGGTTGTGTGTTCTTGAAGCAGTACCTCTGCAAAACATTAACAGGCAACAGCTATGGAGTTTAAAAGAAAAATAAAAAATAAAATTAACAAGAGTAAAAACATATTTAGTTTGTGTAATTGCTATCTTGAATTTTGGCCGAGTTATACATTATATCCTCTGTTTGAGATTACAATAATCTTTATAGCAAACATCAATCTTTTGAACATAACTTTAAATGAGCTGAAGTCTAGCCATTTTAACAAGTAGTGAGGTGAGAGGTAAGGTGGAACTTTTGACAAATCTTAGGTAAAGTGTTCTAGTTCTGAAGCTGTTGTATTCTTCTTTCTTAAATATCATTTTACAAAGTTTGCACATATTGTTTCCTCAGTCTATATGAATGTTAGTTAACACAATATAACATTACATTTAAAACCCGAATCAAAGAAAGGCTGACAGAACTTTTAACTTTCCTTTTATGTGGAAAATGGCAAAATTCTTTCCTGTTTTACAATATTAACCTTTAAACTGATCAGGTTCTCATTATCTGTTAGAATCACACTTACATTTCTACCCCAATGTAAAAAATTACATAAAATTTAGGTTCAGTTACAGAACATTAAATGATATAAATAAATCCCCAATAAAATTTGTTATTCTTCTAAGTCTAAAATTACCATTACAGACAACTTTAGTTTGGAGAACAGCAGCTTGATAAAAATGTTCTTTTAAATCTCCTGCTTTTTTTTTTTTTAGGTTAAAACTCAATTCAGTCTTTACTGAAGTCACCACCTCAGTGTATTACATAAAAACACCTTCTCCAGCAATCAGTGTGACCAGCATTCCACATCGTGAGCCCCTCTTTGATCCCCAGGTGAACGAACTAGATGTTAATACTGCTCTGCTACAAGGTAAAAGCTCCTAACTCAAACTTATTGGAAAAGGAGTGAAACTTCTGCAAAGTGCACTTTTAAAAAGAGGTACTTTTTGCTTATGAAAAGAAACCAGTGAATCCTCTAAGAATAATAAAAGGGAGTATTTTACAGTTAAGCACATGATTTGGAGTGAAGAATTCGGATGTTGCTTTGCTGGTCCAGGCTGTTAATACTCTTCTTGTTCCTCCTGTGGGCCCCCTTCATCAGGTATCACAAAGCCTTCATCTGTGGCATAGAGAATGTCTACAATCCTCTGTAATACAGGGTCGTTCTCCCCCTCGTTCTCCTGGCAAATCAATTCAATGTTCCTTAGCTTTCCAAAGTAGAAATCTCTCTCCTTCTCCAAGTCTTCAACAGTAAGTTTCAACACGTTGACCTGCTGCATCAATTCAGCTGCTTCATCATCGCCATTGCCTACACCAGGATTCTTTCGCACCACCCCTGGGCCAGCCTTAGGAGCTGCAGTAGTTCTCTGTGTTGAAATGGGTCTCTGTGGGGCTGCACTGCTCGAGCTGAGAGGTTTCTTCGGTTTATTCAGAGCTGGAGCAACAAGAGAGGGAGCAACCGCGGTTTCTTGACCTTGTCTGGCAGCTACAGGGTCATAGTCTTTTCCATCATAGTTTGCATCAAAAAACTTCTTGAACCACTGCACGAACTCAAAATTATCCTGAAATTTTCCTTTTACTAATTTATCCACAGGAATTATTTTGTCAATTCCCATCCTCTTAAAACCTGCTTGTAGTATTTTGAAGTTCTGGATATATTCATGTTCTAGCTTAGCTTGGAATTTCACTTTCTTCAAGGCAACAGAGCCCGGGAATAGCATGTCCATAAACTGACAATAGGCAGCTCCTATCAGAAGACCAAAATTTAAGAACTCTCAACGCTTTAATATTAACATACAGGAAACACACATGACTATTAAATTGAAAGTGTTCAAGGCTTCATGGAGTAGGTGAAACTTGAGTCATCTTAAATGATGAATAAAATCTGGAAAGAGAGGGCTGAGCACAATTGTTCAATCTTTGTCAGATTCAACTGCAGAGACTCATTGATCCAGGCCAGCATGTCATGTCGACTTAGGTTATCACTGGTGACTGACGTCGAGTATACGTTCACTGCCATCTTCTGAGACCCATTACCACCATCCCTCATGGAGATCCACTGTCAAGTCTTCAAATTACTCTGTCTCAATCTGTTCTTACACAGCAGCCAGAAAGAATTTCTTTTTGCCAAGCACCATGCAAAGCCCTTTCTGTACGTTGTATTACTGTGCACGTTTTACAGATGAGGAAGCTGAAACCCAGACATTACAGCACCTGCCCAGGGTCGCCGAGCAAGGAATCGAGGCCACGTCTGAACCCCCACAAGGAGCCCACCCAAGAGGCAATACCGCCTAGCACTCTGCGGGTTCCAAGAGCGCCCGGCAGGCCCACCTCCCTCACACACCCACTCCGGGTCCACGGCCCAGGGACCTCGGATCGCCACCGCGCGAGTTCCACACCTCGGCGGCGACCCAGAAGCCCAAATCTCCTGCTTTAAAGACTTGTATACCTTGAAGATATGAACACATTTAGTATGCTATACTGATGTGGGTTTTTTGTTTTGTTTTTTTTTAATCTTGAACTGACATATTATTATTATTATTATTATTATTATTATTATTTTATTTAGTTATTTATTTATTGTACTGGGGATTGAGCCCAAGGGCACTCAACCACTGAGCCACATCCCCAGCCCTTTTTATATTTTTATTTAGAGACAGGGTCTCACTGAGCTGCTTATCCTCCTGCCTCAGCCTCCTGAGCCACTGGGATCACAGGTATGCACTACTGCCCCGGCATTGATGTCTTTATATTAACCAAGTCTAGCTTTTAAAGGAAAATTTAGACTCTGTAATGTACTATAATAATGGTTGTTCCTGTGTAACCAGTATTGTATAGATCCTAATTCCTTTAAGACTAGTTGCTTTAAAGAATAAAACTTAACAGACACAATGTTAAGAGTAAATTAATGTTTTAAGAAATCCTGTCAGTTTAACATGTAGATTACACTTGGTTTTATATCAGCAAATTAGTATTTGACCTTAGGGAAGAAACCTGAATAGCTTTAACTGATGTTCTACATACATATAACCAACTTGGTTACACACAAACTTGTTGAAGTTTGCCTTTTACTCACACAGACCTTCTTATCATTTACTTAGACACTCTGCTTATTTGCTTATTTCATAAAGACTTTCTTATCCAGAAACATTTTTTTATTCCTTCTACTAAATATATTTCCATACCTAGAACCTTCGAATTTCTCTTTCCTATCTGTTGACCCCTATTTTTTATTCTGAAATAACCCTTATGAAATTTCTGAATTTAGACAAATTACTCCATATTAATAAGAACAAATACATTATTATTTACAGACACTAATTGAAACACAGTTGAAACTTTTGGACCCTTTGTACATAGAATCACATCTGTTTGTTTAACAATTCATGAAAACACAAACAATGTTCAGGTATATCACCTCATGCAATTCAAGAAGTTAAGAGTACTTGATGTCATATATATATATATATATATATATATATATATATATATATTTTTTTTTTTTTTTTTTTTTTGGTGCTGGGGATTGAACCCAGGGCCTTGGGCATGCAAGGTAAGCTCTCTACCAACTGAGCTATATCCCCAACCCCTAACAGCATCTTAACTTTGCAAATTAATCAGCTGTCTCTAACAAATACATTTACGATTAATCCCACATACGTCAAATCTAATTCATTTGTTAACTATAAGAACCAAGGTGTCAGACGAATGTATTAAACAGCATTCACCTCTTTTTTGTTGAAGAAAAATTCTAGAAACAATGGATTTATATATTAATATTTTATTAGTTGTCTGATCACCTAGAAAAACCTGTGAGTTAATAACTTTGAGTATATCCTTTATTCTTATTTGTTTACCCAATTTAAATTGAACCTTCTAAATCACATGAATTAAAGATATTTGGATCCATATTTCTGAAACTTTAATTTATGAGCTCATTCATCGATATGACAATTTTGATACACAAACACATGTAGACAGGCCAATACACAGGTGCATGTAGAAACAGAACAAAGAAACAAAGGCCTTATAGCTTTTTAAAACCTATTAGGTCAAGAGCTAACCTTTGCAAATTGAACTCTGAACAGAGCAGAGTGTATAAAACCTTCATAGTTGGATAAAATAGGTCTGGTCAGAAAAACACATAAACCTAAGTGCGCTGGATCAAAATCATGGGCTAAAAAAAAATAGAGAATATAAAAAAAACAAGAATCCTAGGGGGAAAAATGACAAGGCCGTTAATTATTTCAGAAGCAGCATGAAAGAGCGAGAAGAGAGAGAGAGGGAGGGATAGAAAGAGAGTGAGAAAGAGAGAGAGAGAGAGAGAGAGAGCCCTGAAATCATTTTTCTCCATATGCCGCAGCCAGGGAGAAGTTAAAATGACATTTTTTCCCTTCAATCTCGATTGGCCTCCTACCTCCTAAGAAGCCTGCCTTTTACATTCCAGTGCAAGCACCAGGGCTCTTTAACCCTTTTTTCCCTGGTTGGTAATCAGGCCAGCTTGGATGCAGAAAACTATGAAACACTATCTCCCATACCTTTGAGGATGAGGCTGCTAGGTCACACCACTGAGACACGCCATTCACTGTTGGGCTGGTTAGGTTATTTTTCTCTCTCAGTGACAAACAGGTTAAATTTTTGCTCCATAGGTAAGCTGAGGGTAGGGGCTTGAAATAAGCCTCCTTTTTACATATTGTCAGGTTAGGACCTCACTCAGAATGGAGAATACTAATTAACCTTTTGATAATTATTTTAATTTAAGGAGGAAATTTACCAGCTAGTTGAGCCCTTAAAATCTCTTCAGAAGGGGAATATTTGCCTGCTGCTTGGCCATTCACCAATCCCTGTAACCTAGGGCTCCCCAGATGTATTATTAGGGGACTTGGGAAGCTGGCTGCACTGAGGGGAGAGGTGTTTTTTCCTGGGGACAGTCCACCTTCCAGTGTCCCCATTGCCCCACATTTGGGACATGGCTTGGTGAGCAGCCTTGGGTTTTTGTCCAAGGTCCAGTCCATCCACATCAGAAATGGGGCCCAAAGGTATATTAGAGGGTCTGGAGGGGCCGTGAGTAGCAATGGCTTTTTTTAGGGCGATGGATGGCTGAGGCTAGGAGCTGATATTTAGTTTTAAGATGTTTTTCTTTCTCCTGTTTGGCCTCATCTTCCCTATTGTTAAAGGTCTTAAAAGCAGGATCTAGAAATTGATTCTGGGAAGCCTTGGCGCCCTTCTCTGTTTTTTTATGGGTATCAGATGCAGACCCGCTGATAAATTGCATAGGGAGAAAGAGAGTATCAGCAGCAGTATGAAAGTCTAGGGTGGTATATTTGGTAATTGAGTGAAGGAAAAAGAAAGGTTGAAGGTATGGAACCTCAAACCACCTGCCAATCTGTATTAAATATTTTTGCAAAGCCTGGAGAATTTCTTTATCAAGAGTTTTGTACTTGGGGCTGGAGATGTGGCTCAAGTGGTAGCGCGCTCGCCTGGCATGCGTGCGGCCCGGGTTCGATCCTGAGCACCACATACAAACAAAGATGTTGTGTCCACCGAAAAATAAATAAATAAATATTTAAAAAAAAAAGAGTTTTGTACTTGGGCCATGGGCACTGATTATCTAATTTGTACTGTGGCCAAATCTGAGTGCTGAGTCTAATGAGGTGTTCAATTTTGAGGTCAGTTTGGGAGTAGAGGGTCATAACATTGATAAAGAGACAGCCCAAGAGGTTGTCTCTGGGAACTGACCGAATGACTTCCATATTTGGAGAGGCTGGACAGAAGTGACGACTGAAAGCAAAGCGTCCTCTGAACTCTTATGTCAGAGGTGTGCCAGTCATCAGAGTGGACTTCTCCCACTGGGGACTAGGGAAACATCTTTACACCAATCTCACTGGTAGGGGACCCCCTGGGTCCTAGCTAGCTAAAGGGCGGGTACCTATCTGCTGGAGACCAGCTGGACTGAGTCTTACCTCTCTGGAGAATTTAAAAGCTGGTGTTGGATGCAGGAACAAAATGGCAAAGAGATCTCTGATCCCTGAGGTTTGCTGGGTGTGTAAGGGAAGGGAAGATTGGGGAGGGGAGGAAGTAGAAACAGGACACCTTCAATGCCAATAAAGGACTTGATACAAATCTTGCATTGTTCTTGTGGCATAAAGCCACAAAAATCTAGCAGGTGGTCGATATTTGGTACCCCTGAGGGCTGTCGGGACCATATTTGAGACATAAGACCTTTGTGCAGCACCAGAGAGTGGCCCTGGCCAGCTGCCTTAAGCCCTCCTCTGTCCCAAGCACCAAATTTCTCCCGAAAAAAAGCTGGCAGTTGCTTAGCTAAAGTGGACTGCAAAGGGCGTGAAGGGCCTATGTTCTACAGAGTTGGGGGGACACAGTCAGTTTGGGCATTCAGCTGTAGCTCCTATGAGCCACAGCTTGGAGGTCCCCCTGACTTTCAGAAAGCCATGGAAGTGCCAGATGTTCAGTGGTCACTTTCAGGGCCTCATTAGTTGGTTAACTTTGACTGTGGGGGGAGGGAATGGGTTTTGGGGGTACAGGGAAGAACAAAATATTACCCTTTCTCCCATTTCCTGATCAGGGAACCAAAATGTTAGCTCCAAAAGGAACGAGCCGGGTGCAAACTTCATGGATCAGCACAGCCTTTATTCAGCAATAAAGTCGTGCCTATGATAGACCCACTTTCCTAATGGAAAATGAGCCACTAGCCAAAGGGGGAGTCTGTTATAGGTTATACTGAGAAGTGACTTGATTAGTTAGCGTGTCAATTTGGGCACCCAGGAATTTGAGATCTGTTTTTACTGGGCAAGATGGAGGGTCGGGGGTCAACAGTCAGTATCTAGAAAGGATTTATTAGAGACCATCATTCTAGGCTTGATGGATATCTCCTCCCCAGGGCTTGTCTTGTCACTGGGAAAGAATGCATTGGGAAAGGATCAATGTTATCAATGTGTTGCCTTCTTCCTCATGCCCTCTTCCCAGGCCACAGTATTATGGGGGTTGTCATTTTTCATATCTAACACCCTGGAATTTATTCTTCATGTCCTTCACAGGACATGGTAGAACACCCCAGGGTTCTCTCCCCAGTTACATACCACACACAAACCATCACTGGGAAGAGCATTTGCCTAACACGCACAAACCTTATGTTCAATCCCTGACATCACAAAAAGAGAAGAAGGAAAGAAGGAAAGAAAAAGGGGAGGGAGGAAAGAAAGAGAGAGTGAGAGAGAAAGAAAGAGATAAATCAACCCAGTGCAGTTGCCCAGGCCTGTAATCCCAGTGATTTGGAAGGCTGAGGCAGGAGGATCACAAGTTCAAGGCCAATCTCAGCAACCTAGCAAGGCCCTAAATAACTTAGTAAGACCCTGTCTCAAAAATAAAAAAGTAAAAAAAAAAGTGAGGGCTGGTATGTAGCTGAGTGGCGGGGGAAGAAGAAACTCACTGAGAAAGTAATTAAAAGTAATCAGTATAGGATTTTGTTGTTGTTGTTTTGCAATATTGATGATTGAACCCAAGAGTGCTCTACCACTGATCTATATCCCCACATCCCCAGCCCCTTTTTATTTTGAGACACAATCTAGCTAAATTGCTGAGCCTGGCCTTGAGCCTGCGCAGTCCTCCTCAGAGTCACTGAGATTACAGGCCTGCATCACCAGGGTGCCTGGTTTATGTTTTTTAAAATGTAGGCAAGGAGGTCAGAATTTACACATAAAAGCAGGGTTTGAGGTGAGCCATGGGAATTTAAGAAGCCCACTTATTAAAACCAGAGGGATCTAATCAAAGAAACCTTTCTGTAGGGGTTGAGCTTTAAAAAGCCAGCCTTGAAGAAAAAAAGAGAACCTTGGTTGGTGTAGCAGCTGCACCACAGCTGGGAGCAGAGCCCCCCGGCCATGGACTCCCTCACACAGGCAGGCACCTCTGACCCCAGACATGGATGGGAAGCTGGAGGAAGTGCGAATGTGCCTCCCATCAGTGCTGCATGGCAGCTCCCTCAAAGCCTGTGCCCTTCCCTCTGAGAGACTGAATATGCAAATGGAAAATGACTGACTATATATGATAAAGGAATTTGGATGTGAATAAAACTCTTGTAGCAAGCAGCCTGGGAAGCCCCAGAAGCCAAACTTCCATCTGTGCAGCAATGAGCTCAGAACAGTCAAAACTTGGCCAGTGAGCTGGGCACAGTGGCACACACTTGTAATCCAAGCAATTCGAGAGCTGAGGCAAAAGGATCGCAAGCAAATTTAAAACCAGCCTCAGCAACTTAGACCCTGCGTCAACATAAAAAAAAATAAAAAGAATGTGGATATAGCTCAGTATGAAGTGCCCCTGGGTTCAATGCCCAGTATGGGGGTGGGGTGGAGAATTTAGCTAATGATCACGGTTCCTTCCCAACCTCCAACCACCTCTCCACCTCTTACAGCTCAAGACCAACATCATCCAATCACGGCACACCTGAACCTTCCCTTTTTCCTACTATGGAGTTTCGCATCCCTGCCTGCCTTAGAGTCCCTGTCACATGCAAATTATGATGGCTGACTGCCTCTCAAGCTCTGATTAAATGGCTTTTAGTCCTCATTTGGAGGATCTTTGTTTATTTTCTTTATTTTTTTAAGAGAGAGGAGAGAGAGAGAGAATTATTTTTAATATTTATTTTTCAGTTTTCAGTGGACACAACATCTTTATTTTATTTTTATGTGGTGCTGAGGATCAAACCAAGCACCCGGCGCATGCCAGGCGAGTGTGTTACCGCTCGAGCCATATCCCCATCCCCAACTTTCACATCTCCCACAGGGTACTGGACACAAACTAAAAATACTCATGAAATCAACACATGGATCAGGAGGTAGACCAACACCCCAGAATGTTTCTTCCCAGCTACATCCCTACCAGAGTTCATCTTTCTCCTGACTTTTAACATCATAAATCAGCTTTGTTTATTTAAGATAAATAAAATTTGCTTTTTGGTATACACTAACTCCGGCTCAGCATCAGTCTAGGGATTGAATCCAGAGGCTCTTTGCCACTGAGCTACATCCCCAGCCCTTTTTATTTTTTGAGATGAGTTGCTTAGGACATCACTAAATTGCTGAGACTGGCCTTGAACTTGCCATTCTCTTGCATCAGCCTCCCAAGTCACTGGCATTACAGGCGAGTGTCATTTGCTCAGCAATTTCAAGATGTTTTGAACTATATGGGAGAATGTGCAGAGATGTGCAAATACTGCACAAGGGACCTGAGCATCTGAGAAGCATTCTTGCACACATCTTTGTGGACATGCACTCTTGTTTCTGTTGTGAACACACCCAGGAGTGGAATTGCTGGGTCACAGGTTTAGGCCTATATTAGGCTCTAGTAGACAACTGCCAGTTTTCCAGTAAGGTATCACCAACTGGCTTAGTTCATGCAAGCTGCTATTACAAGATGCCTTTTATTAGGTAATTTAGAAATCATTGAAATTTCCATTTTAGAGATTTGGAAGTACAAGATCAAGGCACCAACAAATTCAGTGTCTAATAAAGGTCCAGTCTCAGCTTCAAAGATATGGTTGCTGCTTTCTCATATGGACTTCTCTGTCCTCACATGGTGGAAGGAACAGAGGGCTTTCAAGCCTTTCACCCTCTCTTTTTCCAGTACTGGTTATCAAACCCAGGAGTGCTCTACCCTGAGCAATATCCCTAGCACTTTGTATTTTGAAATGGGGTCTCACCAAGTTGATGAAGCTGGCCTCGAATTTGTGATCCTCCTGCCTCAACCTCCCAAGTTGCTGGGATTACATGTGTTCACCACCATACCAGCTCCCTCTGTCCTCTTAGGGGCATGAATCCCATTCCTGAAGGTGGAGCCCTCATGACCTAATCACTTCCCAAAGGACTCTCCTCCAACTTATGAATTTTGCAGGGACATATATGTTCAGGCCATAACACCAACCTACATTCCTCCAACATATTCACATTTTCATGAATATTTAATGTTATCTCTCATACTGTTTCTCGCCCCGCTCCAAATTTAGTTATAATTCTCAGTAGTCAAAAACAGATCAAAACAATACTTGTCCTTCCCCCTCACTGGCCCCTGCCATGCTCCAGAGACACTCCATTGAACTACTACTGGGTTAGAGACAGTGGGGGGTGGGAGAGGACTTTTAGGGAGAGGTCTTTATTATCTATGTCATCAAGACCTATTATAATGTTTAGCTCACAGTGGGTACAAAATAAATATTTGCTGTAAAATTATATGAAAGAATGATATGGAAGCCTTTTTGCCTGTATCACACATTATGAACACCCCCAACCACTCGAAGGCACCCTCAGAGGCCTTGGACCTGGCACAAATGACTCTTAAACGATGTCTGCTAAATCGAACTGGCTTCATGAAGACTAACATTCTAGTTTTCTTATGGCACCAGCCTCACCTCACCCAGCCCCAGGGCTTTGAGCCTGGGCACACACAAAATGATTATAATCGTATCATTAGGACACCCCTGAGATTATTTTAATTATAGACCTAGTGTTACTATACTATTATAGTAGGTGGCAGATTTTGGCATACTGGGCAGTGATGTGATGGTGTGATGATCTCACTTTAAATGGTTTACTTTGTTCCAGATATCAGGTGAGTTGAAGTTCATAGACGTAAGAAGCATCTAGCTCTGGGGCCTAGGAGTCATTGTCCCTCTTGTCTTTCTTCCCTCCCAGTCTTGTAAACCAGCTATAAATTGGATCCATAATGGTGTCTCTTTCCTAGGGTCATTGTGAGGATTAAATGAACTAATATATGTGTAGCTCTTGGCACAGTGTCTAGCACGCAATTAAAATCAGACATTAGTGGCGACCTTTATTATTATTTGTTGTTAGCAGCAGCCAAGTGAAGAATGTTCACAGTGACCACACCCAGAACCCCCTGTGGACCTCTTAGCCCTGGGATAAAGGAAAAAAAAACTAAGAAAGCAAGGAGCATGTGACTATCCTCTGTGGAGCATGTGACTATCCTCTGTGGAGCGGTATCAATCCCAGCACAGACGTTTCAGACCAAAGACCCCTCATCTCCCTTCCCAGGGGGAAGTGGGTCTTGGCCTTTAGGCGCATGACAGTGCACCCATGGCAAGTGTGGAACCTCAAGGCCCAAGGACTCCATTCCTAGGACTGTGGAATTTGAACATTGCCTAGCATGAGGACTTCTGCTGGTTGGAAGGGCTGTGCCATGGGGTATATGTCTCATGTGTTGTCACTTCTCTGAGACAGGAGCAATAGCAGGCACCTCCAAGGAGCTTGACAATGGAAGGACGCTTGCAGTCCCCTCCTCCTAAGATGGAGTCCAGTGCTGCTCATGCTTTGAACTGGTTCAAGAAGGACGTCACCTATAGAGGCCAACAGACCACAATGTGGATGCTTCATTGTTACCTAATGCTGCCCTGGGAGAAAATAGATGATCTTAAAATCCTTCCAGCTTATGTCTTTCCCTTGGCTTTCTGAACCCTTCACACTCTTATACAAAGAACCTGTACTCAAAAAAGGGGGCAGCCGGGTGCATTGGTGCATAGATGTAATTGCAGCAATTTGGGAGGAGGAGACAGGAGGATGGCAAATTCAAAGCCAGCCTAAGCAACTCAGTGAGACCCTGAAATAAAAAATAAAAAGGTCTAGGGATGTAGCTCAGTGGTAAAGTGCCCCTGAAATCAATGCCCCCCCCCCATACCAAAGAAAAGAGGAAGGAAGGGGGCAACAGGCAGGGATGAATAAGATGGCCAAGATATTAAAGCCAGGAGATGGGCAGTGTGTTATTCTGGTCTCTCTACTTTTGCATTTGTCTGAAAGCTGGCCATAATAAATGTTTTCTAAAAGACGGTATTAATAATCTGAGACCTGGCAGGGTAAAGGGCATCTCCCTCATCCTTGACTAAGAAGCTCCCTAAACCTGAGGGTAGCCAGCAAGAGAAGTGAAGGAGTGGCACTGTTCTGGCTTTGTTAGGTTAAAGTCCATGGGTACTTCCCTGAGAGACAGAAACCACAACAGTCCCAGAGCTTTGAGGAAATGCTTCAGCCAGGGAAAGAACGTGGACAGAGGTTCTGCTGCAGGTGGGTCTGCCCCCGGGCACTTAGGAGGGCATTGGTCCCTCCAGGACTACCCAGCCTTGACCTCAAGGGTCCCCTAGTCCCGTCTGCGAGTGGAGGTCCTTCCTCCCTTCCTTGTGTTCCAGCCTCTACCTTGTCTGGGCCACAGCTGTGAAGGTGAACTTCCTAGTTCACACTCCTTTGTAAACCTTCCTGCAGCTGAAAGTCACAACCCAGAACAGGATTCTTGAGACTGGACTCTAATTCCCATTTCTGCCTGAAGGTGGCATTTAAGTCTTCAGATTGATAATAGCTGAGATGGGGATAGTGTTAAGTGCAGGCCAAGTCAGGGATTCGAGGCGGTATAGTCTGAAATGTGCTGGGAAGGCCCTGAACACTTCCCACACACCTGATCCAATATATCGCCTACAGTGACTGGTTTCTGTAGTTGAAATTGTACCAGTTGACTGGGCACAGTGGTGCACTTATAATCCCAGTGGCTCAGGAGGCCAAAGCAGGTGGATATTAAGTTCAAAGCCAGCCTCAGCAACTTAACAGGCCCTAAGCAATTTAGGGAGACCCTGTCTCAAAATAAAAAAATAAAAAGAGCTGAGGATGTGGCTCAGTGGTTAAGCACCCCTGAGTTCAATCCCTGGCACCACCACCAACAAAAAGAAATCCCCCAGTTGAGTGAGTGATTCTCTGGGACTACGTGTTGCCTTCTTGAGCCAATTTTTTTTTTTTTCTTTTCAGGGGGTGCTGGAGATTGAATCCAGAGGTGCTTCACTACTGAACTACATTCCAGTTTTATGTCTCCTCTTATGCCCTTTTTAATTCTTTAAAAAGATGGGGCCTTGCTAAGTTATTTAGGTTCTCCCTAAATTGCTGAGGCTGGCCTTGAACATTTGGTCCTCCTGAACTGCTGGGATTACAGGCATGGGCCACTCCACCCAGTGAGTTTTTTTTTTTTTTTTTCCCCAAAGTACCCTGGGAGGCTAGCACATTAAAACTAGGACTGTGCACAAACTGACTGGCTGGCACCTGGGGATACAGGTGGGGGATACAGTGGTTGGTTAAGAGCAAGGGATTGATAAGTACTGGTATAGATAGCTTGGGGACAGACCACACCTGGATTCAAGTTAGAGGCTGTTGGGTTTAGAGTGGGGGCTGAAATTCAGAAGTAGAGGTCATTAGGTTGCGGAAGTTCCCTAGGGCGGTGTAGGGTAAAGCTGCCTCGAGCTTTACATAACAAGCCACACCCCTGATTTCTCCAAGGGCTCTAGTTCTTGCCCCTTGAAGAGCCCAGAAATAGAGAAGGCTCCTGTGCCTACCACTTGTCCAGCAAAGGCCACCTGAAAAGAACCCAAGAGGATACCCACCAGTGCACCTCAATGTGTGAAGAGAATAGCTATCTTCCCACCCAGGGAGGTGGTGGAACACCCCTGGCTGCTGGAGATGGGGAGAACAGCTGCCCACTGGATAGACCTCCCTCCCCAACAACTCGCAAATGTACTAGATGAAGTTAAGAGGAAGACATAAGAAAGGAGAAGGTAGCAGGGTCTGGGTTTACCTCTAAAGGTATAGCCAAGTGCTCTACTCACTGCCCATTTAATTAGCAATAATAACATGTATCCAGTCCTTAGGAAATGACAGGATTCAGTCTAAGATTTACATAGATAAACTAATTTAATCCCCAGGACAACACTAGAATATACACACACGTACATACATATGTGTATGTGTGTGTGTGTGTAGACATTTCACTCCCATTTAACAGGTGAGAAAAGTGAGGCACACAGAGGTTAATATCTTGCCTGGGATTAAAGAGCTAGTGAGATGATGAGCAGGATACAGCCCGAGCCTGCCCTCACTGCACAGCGCACCCTTGTTGCTGTGCACTCTGCCTCTCAAGCCCTCAGCTCTACCAGGTTAGACAGGAGGGATGCCGAATCCTGTATGCCATGTCCATGAAGGATGAGCTAGAAGCTCACTGTCCATGTGGGGAAACCAGACCAGAGAGCCTGAACATCTGCCAAAGTCACACAGCCCAGAAAGGGAAGAGCTGAAATCTGAACCTGGCTTGAATTCTGCCCACTAGGCAGGTCCCTTCCCCAACCCATGTAGGAAGCCAAAGAGAATGGAGGACAGAGGTGGAGGTAAGGGGACTGGAGAAAGGCTCCAAGGGTCTTCCTCCTGTCTAGTGGCTGCTTCTGGCTTCCCTGGGTCCACTGGAACTGGACCTTCTTCCAGGGTGGCCTGGCCAATAGAGGGGGACTAGAGAGACAGGGAACCCAAAGCAGCTGGCTCCCTGAATACTAGGCACCTTGCTGCTGTCAGGATGCTGAGCTGCTGGGCGGGGAACAAGGTCTTGTGGGAATTCCCCACCCAGAACACCTGTTTTGGCCTCAGGGGACCTGGGCAGAATGAGGGGCATCTCCTGATCTTCAGGCTTGGGCAAAGGGGGACAAAGCCTGGTGGAGGGGACCTCCTTAGGAGCACACAGGGAGACTACCAGGTAGGCAAGGTCTGAAGCACTGGGGGCCGCTTAGAGCCTGGAAAGCCAAGGATGGTGAGGGACAAGCAGAGGACAAGAGCTAGGACAGAAAACGCTGTCCTCACAACTCACTCCTCCATCAGGCCCATAGTTCTCGAGGTCCCCTGCTTGACCCGGCCCCTGCCAGCCTGGGGAAAGGGCACCATGGGAACGTGGTGGGCATTGGAGGTTTCACTGCAGTGGGCGCCGCCGGTACAGCACTACCAGGAGCACCGCCAGGAGCGCGCTGGCTGCGGCAGTCCCCAGCCACCACAGAGCCCCTGGTGCTGTTGAGCACATCTCCTCCTCTTCCTCCTCCTGGGGCTCTGAGGCCTCAGGTCGTTCAGGGCTGCCATCCAGGAGGTCAGCACTGGGACCCTCAGCCACATGGATAGCAAAGGACATGTACTCATTTTCCTCTGGGCCTTGGCTGGACTCCAGGACCAGAGAATTGCTGATAGCGAGATCTTCAGAACAGCCGGAAAATGGCTGGCTATCGACCCTCGATACCAGAGTACCAGGCTTGCTCAGCTCGGCCTCAGAGCGCAAGTTCCCAGAGCTGCTACCCCTCCAAGGAGAGCTGCCTTCAATGGTGACTGTGGTTGCTGGAGTCCCTGGGGTCTCCTGGGAAAGAAAGGAAAGTGCTGGAAGGGGATGGGTATGGGAGGGAGATAAGCCAGACAAAGTGGGTGGCCCTGTTCTCGAGTCAGGGCATGAACTAGTAGCCCAAGCCCAAACTTCTCAGTTCCCATCCTATATCCTGGCTTGCAAGACACCATCGCTTGGAGACCCGACCATTGGTGGGGAAGAGGACAGAAGGGGAAGAAGGCACCAAGGCTTTGTAGTATCATTTCATTGATGGCCTCATTGCAGCCCTCTCCCCACTCACTGGTCTGCCAGGGAAGCCCTTGACAGCAAGCCCCTACTGCTGAGGCCTTAGGATCACAGGGCAGCTACAGTGTCCTGGAGCCTCAGGAACTTGCTTCCTCGAGGCAGACAACAGCAGTAGGGTTAGATGCGAGGCTTTGGAGAGGGCAGCTATGGGGGCTAATGGGTCAGAGCAGCTGCTCCAGGCTGGCTGGCCAGAAATTGCTGTTTGGAAAGCTTGGTCACAGGCAGGCCAGACATACTGGTGGTAAAGGGCAAGGCATGAAGGCAAGTGGGCCACCATGCTCCACCCCTCACTGCTTCCTCATCAACAGATCAGTGTTGCTAAGCTTAACTGGAGGCTGAGTCCCAGTGAGTTAAAGCACATGACCAGTAGGGTGGCCCCATGCCTGACTCTCTTGAGGCAATGATACTTAGGGGTTTTCGTGACAGTCATTCCTCCTAGAGGATGAGGCAGGTTGCCAGCTTGTCCCCACAGCTTTAAGGAGAGGTCATGGACTTGCCCAGGCTAGAGACAGGATGGAGACTGGGAAGGGTCCAAGGACAGGGCCCAAAGGGAAGGGGCCTGAGGCACTGCTAAGAGGGGCCAGGACTCACCTTGGCTTTGCTCCCGTTGGAGGGCATTGTGTTGGTAGGCACCTTGGTGGGAATCATGGTAGCAGTAGGCACTTTGGATGGCATGGCGCTAGCACGTGTTGAGTTGATGGGCAACTTGGATGGTGCTGGGTTGGAGGGCACTTTAGGGGGCATTGCACCAGGGGGCTTTGTGCTGGTAGGCAACTTGGAGGGCCCCAAGCCGACAAGGGCCGAGTTGGCGGGCGCTTTGGAGGGCAGTAAGCTGGTAGTTGTTGAATCAGCAGGTACCTCTGCATCACTAGAGCAGATGGCAGTCTTATTATGGTCACCAATCTCCTCTACAGAAGCCAAGGCAATGGAGGAGGGACCAGCAGATGCAGGAGCTGACACTGCAGGTCCAGGCAAGTGGCTTTTCCTGGGGGTGGAACGGGCCAGGGGCTGGAAGGAGACAGTCGGGGACACAGGCCCACGGGCTGATGTGGAGCTGCAAACTGCACCTGCAGGTAGCAAAAGTAGAAGCATAAACCCAAAGGACTGTCACCCTCAGGGGTTGGGAAAGGTCCCTGTGTCTCAAATCACATTAGCCCTATTGCAACATGCCTCCCAATCACCTGTGCATGGAGAAGACTATAGTCCCTTTGGTCATCGCTCTCAGACCTGAGACTCAACTGTTGCCTGCAGTCCTTGACCTATATCCCCAAGTCTGTCCTATCACAAGACCGATGTCATCCTTCCCACTAACTGCATCCAGGAGCTTAAAGATCATTATTGGCTATTCTTTCTGCTTCTGTTTCTCCCACCCAGAACACCTCCCTGTCCTGTTTCTGCTTTTTTCTCTCTCTAGCTAGTGGAATCCTAGATGTTCCCCTCACTGCTGTCCCCCACACTCCCCAACAGGAGCAACACTGGATCAGGGCAAGGGACAGCAGGGTGGCTCAAGCAGAACTGCTCACACCAGTCAAGTGGTACCAGAGGCTGGCCAGTTCCCAGGAGTAAGGCAAAGCTACCCTAGGAAGAGGACCTGACACAGGGTGACAGCCCATAGAGGCAGTGTCATCGGGAACTCTAAGGATGCACACACCAGACCCCAAGGTTGACAAAGGTCAGAAGTGATGCCTGAAAGTCCACATCATGTACAACCACAAGAATGGGATCCCAAGCTGGGCATGGTGGCACATGCTTGTAATCCCAGCAGCTCAGGAAACTGAAACAGGAGGATCACGAGTTCAAAGCCAGCCTCAGCAATGACGAGGTGCTAAGCAACTCAGTGAGACCCTGTCTCTAAATAAAATACAGAATAGGTCTGGGGATGTGGCTTAGGGGTTGAGTGCCTCTGAGTTCAATTTCCAGTATAGGAAGAAAAAAAAAAAGAATGGGGATCCCAATTAGAATAAGTTACGCTCCATGCATGTATAATATGTCAAAATACACTTTACTGTCATGTATATCTAAAACCCCCCAAATTCTAAAAAAGAAGTGATGTCTCATGTCCCCTCCCCTAAATGCAGTACCACAGACTCTCGTGGAACCTGTGTCCATCAATGCACTGAAATCAGGTGCCTTTGCCTTCATGGTTCATAGAAGCACCTCCTAAAAGGCATTCCATGACAAAATAACACTGTAAAGTGCAAACAGGTGCTCAGGACTATTTGGGGGTGACAAGAGTGGAGGGCACAAGATGGTTTCTCCTAACTTTTAAATATCCCTGTGCCTTGTGGCTGTTCCAGGGTACTGAGGGCAGGCCAGGCACAAGTGTCATATGGAATACAGTTTGGGAAGTAGTAGAAAGACACGCCAGGTCAGGGTGGTCAGCTACACAGCCTTGAGGGGGAGTACTGAGATCTGGTGTAGTGTCCAGGCACCTGGCTGATGATAGACATGCTTCCTCTGGGGGTTGAGATATTTTAGTGACTTTCTGGGAACTGGACACCCCTTGGTAGTAGGGCAGTACTGAAGGGCTCCTCTGCCAATAGCCAGACCAGCTTTGTACTGTCTTTCCCCATCCTCCAGGTCCTGGCTAATCTATAGGCCTCCCATCTAAGAATGGAGTCAATTTCTCATGAATCTGGGCTGTCCTTTATAACTTGCTTAGGCCCACAGAGTGAAGAAGGAAGGACACTGTGCCAGTTTGGAGTCTATGCCTCAAGAGTCCTTTCTTCTTCACTTAGAGGTCTCTGTCCAGTTGCCATGGGAAAGGCCTGTGTGCTAGAGGATATGAAACCCCATGGAAGGGAATAAAGGTGCCCCATCCAATAAGTCAGAAGCAGAATAAGTATATGTATCAGTGAGTTCAGGAGAGGAAATTCAGCCAAGACCAGAAGAACTGTTTAGCTGGGTCAGCTGTGTGCTAAATAAACGCTTGTATTTTAATCTACTTATAATAATGTTTTTTAGACTGTTTGTTACACAGCAAATACTAACTGATACACTCACTGAGGAACTGGTTTGGTACCTGGGGTAAATGCACTTTATTCCCACTTTGCTCCTGTTCAAGGAAGCCCAAGGGGCAACTCTAATCCTAACCTTCACTTGGGAGGTCAAACAGGCCCTCCAACATCATATCCCATGCATACCTGCTATGTGGGTACCACCCAGTTCTCGATCCTGCTCCTGATGCCTGCTGGAAGTCGGAAGGCTGAGGGATGTTGGGTTAGAGGAGGGCTCCAAGGAGCCAGCAGGTCTCCTCAGGACTCCCCTGGAACTGGGTATCTGTGGGGCTGGCTCTGAACTCTGAGAGAGAGAGAAATGGCTGACAAGAGCTGGCAAAGAACAGCTGATGTTCCTGGGGCATCTCCTTTTTTTTTTTTTTTTTTGGTGGTGGTAATGGGGGTATTAAGGATTGAATCCAGGAGTGCTTTACCACTGAACTACATCCCAGCCCTTTTTGTTTTTTATTTTGAGACAGGGTCTTGCTAAGTTGCTCTGGGCCTTGCTAAGTTGCTTAGGCTGGCCTCAAACTTGCAATCTTCCTGCCTCAGCCTCCTGAGTCACTAGTATTATAGGCATTCGCCATTGTGCCCAGCTAAGGACAACTTCTAAAGGAGCTCTTTTCTTATTTCTGGTCATTGCCAGACCCTCTGTCCACAGATGATCTTACATCTGGGAACTGGACACTGATGGGCTCAAAGAAAACACCCCAGGGAACTGGGGGTATACCTCAGTGGTAGAGCACTTGCCTAGCATGCACGAGACCCTGGGTTCAGTCCTCAGGACTTTAAAACACACACACACACACACACACACACACACTGTCCTATGGGGGTCCCTATCCATCTGTCTGGCCATGTGGAGGTCTCCACTGCACACAGCACTTTCTTCAGGGGTTTCTACACAAACCCTGTGGTTTCAGGTCCACAGTTTGGTGTCTCCTGATACCCCACAGCCCACTTATCATATCTCCATATAATTTGTCATCTTTTCTCTACACTTAACTTTACTGTGATAATTACAGCCCCTCCAGCCACCCGAGACCTCCAGTTCCCTCACCCTACTCCCCAGTCTGGTCACTCCCAGGTTCTTCCACCCAGCTCAACATCTCGCATGACCACGTGGTAAAGCGTGGCCTCCCAAGCTGTTTGATGACAGTGCTGGGGGCTGCCTCAGACCTTGTCAGTAGTCTGGGAGCTGGGCTGAAGCAGGTCCCCACTGAAGGAGCCTGGGGTCCTTAACAGAGATCAGGCATGACTTGTGGGAGGCAGGCAAAGACTTCCAAGAGGCTGGAGGTGGGGGCACAGAAGTGAGCAGACAAGAACATAAAAACAGGCAGCCTGGGGTGAACCCTGAGGACATACCTCTCCTGGGGACTTTGGTGGCTGTGTGTCCTGCACAGGCCTGGGGTAACTTGGCTCTTCTCGGTAGCCATTGTAGGGGACGTGAGCCACAGCAGGTGCAGAGGGCCCTGGGACCTTGCCAGGAGCTGCCGGTGCTGCCTGAGGGGCTGGAGAACAGGTTGGGTTCCCTGGAGAACAAAGATACAGTGATACCAAGAAGGAATCAGGGGTTCTCCCTGTGACGGGCAAGGCCTGGGTGCTCTGGGGCCTCCTCCCTCCATAGCTCTAAAAGCTGACCTGACATGGGAGGCACCCCAGAGGTGACAAGCATCATGGGAATGGGGACAGGAGTGGGAGGCAGAGAAGAGTTGGGGAGAAGGAAGACATGAGTGGGGCAGGGAGCCGCATGACCACCCAGGCTACATCAGCGGTCACTCCTCCTATGTCCCCAGACTTTTTTTCTCTCAGGGCTGTTATACCTAATTGATCCCTGCCACATCCTGCCCCAGATACTACCACAACCATTTGTATTCAGGGGGGATCACTACTAATCTCCACAAATGAAGAGAGCAGTTAGGAAAGAAGGGAGAAAGAGGTGGGGGGAGAAAAGAAGCCAGGAGGGGCATGGTAATGTACACCTGTAGTCCCAACAACTCAAGAGGCCGAGGCAGGAGGATCACGAGTTTGAGGCCAGCCTCTACAATTTAGCAAGGCCCTCAGCAACTTGGCAAAACCCTGTCTCAAAATAAAAGAATAAAAAGGGCTGGCAATGTAGCTCAGTGGTAAAACGTTCTTGGGTTCAATCCCCAGGGAAAGGAGAGAGGAAGGAAGGAAGAGGGGAAGAAGATGAGTGTTCCAAAGCTATAAATCTGAGTGAGGATCTCTGGGATAGCCTCTAGTCTGAACTAGATAGGGCTGATTCAGTTTTTCTTCCTGTGTCAGATTCCATCCCACGAATTCCCTCTGGGCACTCAAGCCGGCCAGGGAACTTAAGAGTAGTTAAGGAGTAATCAGGCAGCTTAAGGGAGGTGGAGAGAGAGTTGGTGAATGAATGGATGGGGGAATATGAGACAGAAGAGGAAATAAGGAGGCAAACACCACAGCCACAAAATTGAAAGAAGGTCCCCCCCGCACTGAGCACATGGGAGGTGCTGAGCCCCAGCTAAATACTCAGCAGGTACCATCCTATGCTATTTATTGCAGCCTGATGTGATAGACATTGCCATTAGCCCCATTTTGCAGAGGAGAAGGCTGAGGTTCAGGGAAATTAAGGAACTTGGTCAAAGGGACACAGATAATAAGTGGCTCTGCCAGGATTTACACCCAAATGTGTATATTGCTCAGGGGTGATGGGGGCAGGGTGACCAGAAATGGCCAGGATGGGAGGCTCACCAGGAAGCAGTTTGCTCCGGTAAACATGAGCCACTTCCTCAGCAAGCTCAGCCTGCTCACAGATCTTCAGTGCCTTGATTAAGAAATCTACCCAACCAGTCCGGCGCTGGAGGCGGTTGAAGAGTTCCCAGAGTGTGTCCTGGTTTCCCAGGCTTGAGTAGCAGGCCCGTAGTCGATCCTAGAAGACACAGTGCAGCCACCCTGCTCAAGCCAGGTGGCCCCAATTCTTTCTCCACCCACAGAGGAGCCACTGCAGAGGGGGCATCAAGAAAGCCACAAGAAGGAGTCAGCCATCTGAAATTGAGTCAGAGCTCAGAACAAGACCAGGACTGGAGCCCAGGTATGGAGTGAAGAAGAGAAATTACCAACAACAATAAAGGCAGCTAGCAGGAAATAGGCTGTGACAATGTCCTAGGCTCTCTGTTGTGGTTTTACATGAATTCTTATTTAATGCCATTATTATCCCTATACACTGATGAGGAAACTGAGGCATTAGCAGAAGCAAAGTAGCATCAATCCTATAGCAGTGGGACAGGAATCCAAACCCAGTTAATCTGAGGCAAAGCCTTGGGTTTAGACAGGCCCTAAAGCAAAGAAAAAGGCTTGGATGGATGCAGAAGGAAAGGTATGTAGCAACAATAAGATGAAAAGAGGCAAAGAAGAGAAGAAAGGGGATCAAATTGGGGGAATGAGGGTTCTGGGGAGCCACTGCGGAGGGGGTATCTGGAAAGAAGACACCAGCTGCATTTTTACACTGATTCAAATTCCCTTATAAAAACAAGCAACTAGCTGGGCACGGTGGTGCACTCCTGTAATTTTAACAGCTTGGGAGCTGAGGCAGGAGGATTGCAAGTTCAAGGCCAGTCTCAGCAACTTAGCAAAGCCCTATCTCAAAATAAAACATTTAAAAAAGGGCTGGGGATATGGTCAATGGTTAAGTGTCCCTGGGCTCAATCCCTGGTCCAAAGGGAAAAAACAAAAAACAAACAAACAAACAGAAAGAGCAACTAGAAGAAATGAAAACTCAGAGAAAACATTTACTACAAACGAGGTAACAAGATATGCCCGCAAGCTCATCAATACAAATTGGGACAAAAACTCAACTACCCCAGACCTGTGCTCTAATGGTACTTACACAGGAGGACACAGAGGAAGCAATGGTGCTCCTGAGACACTGGAGGACATGTCTTTTGGGTGCCAAAAGAGCCCACAGGCATCTACTAGGAGCACAGGGATACCATTTGAGAACAGCTAAAATTGTAAGGGATTCATTCATTTCACTAACTAGTTAGTTTAAGGGGTCTGCAGAAAGTCCTGGTGGGGCAGGACAGATCTGGCCCCTCTCAACTCTCAAAACTGAGCCAAGCACAGTGTCTCATGCCTGAAATCCCAGCAGCTTGGGAGGCTGAGGCAGGAGGATCGCTGCAACTAAGTGAGACACTGTCTCTAAATAAAAAATAAAAAGAGCTGGGGTAGGTGTGGCTCAATGGTTAAGCATCCCTGGGTTCAATCCCTGATACCAAAACAAAACAAAACAAAACAAAAAAACCATCAGGGAAGAAAAGAGGATCTAAAAAATAATGGGCAAAGGGACCAGAGTCAGTGCCATATTTTTGAGCACTACACTAAAACAACACAAGAGGGAGCTCAGCAAGGTTAGAAAAGCCACCCTGAACCACGTTTCATCTAAAAGTTAAAAAGCAGAGAACACAAGAAGCAAGACAGAGGGGAACTAAGAAAAAGTAGTAGGCCCAGGCTTGGGTGAAAACCTGGCATGGGGCTGAGCTTAATTCCACAGCCCAGCCCCCAGCCCCATGTCCAATTGTCACTTCCCTGCTCACCTGGTCACTGGCTGTCAGGCAAGGCAGAAAAGGCAGAATCTCCAGAACATTAACACAGCAAAACTTGCTGTGATGGAGGCGGATATACTTATAGGTCTCATCTTCAGCAAAGGCCATGGCTGCTCAGCTTCTAAAAAGATAGGGCTGTGGCCCGGGGAAGGGAAAATGGACTGAGAGAGAGGTAAAAAGACTGGAAGAAAAGGCATTGCACATGGCAACAGGGTTGGACAAATCATAATTCTTTCTCCATGTTTTGGAATTTTTGCTTTATTCCCTTTAATCTTTTATTTCTTAAAACATTCTATGTTAATATTGCCTAGTTCTCAGAGGCTCTCAAATAATTGGTTTAAAATGAATTGATGGGCCAGGCACAGTGGCACATGCCTATAATCTCAGGGGCTCAGGAGGTAGAGGCAGGAAGATCACAAGTTCAAAGCCAGCTTCAGCAATTTAGCAAGGCACTAAGCAACTCAGTGTGACCCTGTCTCTATTAAAATACAAAATAGGGCTAGGGATGTGATTCAGTGGTTGAGTGCCCCTGAGTTCAATCCCTGGTACCCAAAAACAAAAATTAAAAAAAAGAAAATCAATCGATGACCAGAAAAAAATCAGATGCAGAAGACCCAGGACCCATTTCTTTTTTGAAAGAGGTGGGAACAGGGATTGAACTCAGGGACACTTGGGATTGAACTCAGCCCTATTTTGTATTTTATTTAGCGACATGATCTCACTGAGTTGCTTAGCGACTCGCCATTGCTGAGGCTGACTCTGAATTCGCCATCCTCCTGTCTTAGTTTCTGGAGCTGCTGTGATTACAGGCGTGTGCCACCACACCCGACTTCTAGGACCCATTTCTACCCTGCAGGTTGTTCAGTGCTGAGGAGGGTCTGCAATGTGCCCCTAGCTGCTGTGACTAGGGGATATACCTGTTCCCCTCCTGACTCTTAGGCAGGATAGTAAGAGAGTCACCTACAAGTGCTGCCTCTTTGGGGTATACCAAAATAAAGAAAAAAACAAGTCCAACATAATAACAATAGGACTCCCCCTTCAGTGGCATGCTCCTGTAATCCATCCCAATTTGGAAGGCTAGGCAGTAGAATCACAAATTCAAGGCCAACCTGGACACCTTAGCAAGACCTAACACCCCCGCCCCCAACACACATACAAAAGGATCCTTTTACTATAAATATGAAGAAAATAAGTTACTAAGAAATTAAGGAGCTTTCTAGTCACTGGAAAAGCAAAGGAATGAGGTTTAGGATCAGGTTCTTCCCAGAAGATGCCTGCAGACTCACCCTTAAAGCTTGTATATGTGTTCTTATGGCAGGAGATTGACTTACTGCCCTGAACACCACAGTATGACCCAGGCAAGTTACCAGCCTTTTCCTTAAAATAGCTCAGGGAGTTTGTTTTGACAATACAATTGTTCAGTTCAGACATATAAGCTTAAAAGTTTAAAAATATTCCAAATACAAGTGGTAGCTATGTACTTGCCACAATTTGCAAGTATAGGTGTATTTGTTTGCTTGTGTCTTATTTGCCTCCCCATCAGGGAGTGCTGCAGGGGATAAGAGAGATAAGGTCTGTGCCATTATCCAATTTATATTCATTGGGGTAGGAGAGATAACAGATAGTAAACACATACCTAAATGAGAATTCCAAAAAGCAATACAAATTGTAAAGAAAACAAAACAGAGCAATGAGACACATCCTGGAGAAGGTCATGCTACTTGAACTGGGGTAATTAAGGAAGCCCTTCTCAGTTGGAGACATTTGAGTTGGGCTGTTCTCAGCTGTGAGAAGATTAGTGTTTCAGGCAGAGGGCACAGTATGAGGAAGTCCTAGGATGGGAATGAGTTGGGCATGTTTGAAGAATAGAATGCAGGCCAGTGCGGTCGAGGTTCAGAAAGCTAGGGGGAGAGGCAAAGATCAAGGTCACAGAGGTTGTTAGGGGCCACTCTTGTAGAAAAGGACTTTGGGTTTTATTTGGAGAAAAATAGAAAACTCCCTTAGAAGGTTCTAACAAGGAAAAGAGAGTTTTTTATTTACATCAAAGTCCTCTTTGGTGGTCATGAGGACTGTGGAAGGGCCACAATGGGAGCAGGAGACAAGTCAGGAGGCCACTCAGGGTGGGGTTCGGGGGGAGACATTGATGGACATGGCCAGGATGATAACCACAGAAGTGGCAAGGGGAAGTGGGATTCCTGGTGTTTGTGGATGAGGAAGGTGAAGGAAAGAGGAGAATCAAGCATGACTCCCTGGGCACTGGGTAGGAGGAAAGTGCCATTTACCAAGCCAGGGAAGCAATGGGAGAGCCTTGGTGAAGAGGGAACTCCAGAGGTCTGTTTTGAACATGTGAAGCTTAAGATGTTGTTGAATATCAAAAGCACTGTCAAAGAGGTAAGGAAGCAGATAGGGGACAAAGTGGGTATTCAGTGTGCATGATACCCACATGCACAGAGACAGTGTTGCATCATAGACTGTACCTATAGCTGCTGCAGGTGCCAGGTCCTCACCACATAGGATGCGGGACAGCAATCCTATCTGGTGGTCTCATAGCCCCAGGTTGCATGATTTGCTTTGTTGACCACCATGCTTCAGACTCCTGGTGGGACAATTGCTAGTGATGGAAAGTCCAGAGAGCAGGAAGCTATGGGTCTTCTGATCTTTCAGGAGATGCACAAAGACAACTCTGTGGAGATTTATGGAACCCCTTCTCCTTACCTTCCCATGGCACTTAGGAGGGCACTAGGAGGGAGTCCCATGAAGCGCTCTTCCACAGCCCAGTCTCAAGCCTTAAGGTACAGATGGGGAAGATGGGGTGATGTGACCCCACCAAAAGGAATGGAAGCCCATGTTTTCACATTGATTGAGGGCTCACTACAGATAGACATATCCTGAGATTTTTTTCCACTTGATTTCTTGACAATCCCAGGAAAGAAGTGATACCATTTACACAGCTGGCCAGGGGTCCACACAAGAATTGAACCCAAGATGTGCTACCTCACTGAAGTTGGCTATGTACCTTACAGGGCACAAAGGCCCCTGGAGGAAGTGAGGGCCACACAGCCAGCCCTCTGCATCTATGCCTGCAGAGGGGCCAAGGTCGTCGAGGGGGCGGGATGGGGGTGGCCAGAGGAGATGCACATGGGAGGATGCAACATTAATCTCTTTCTCTTGGCAGTAGGGGAAATCTTTTGAGAGAGGGCTGCTCTCCTTGTCAGCCTTAATTCCCAGGTAACTGACTGTCCTACAAGATGTTTTTGAAGCTTCACAGCATCCATACAAAGAATGTCGTTCTTGCTTGGTTTCATGCTCACCCTTTCTCTGGCACTTCGATATCAGAGAAAGGGAGGAGGTAGCAGAGTGTTCCAGACCCCGGAACAAAGTTTCCGACCCGACTGCCCTAGAGCCTCTGAGCGCGTAGTGGAAAGAAATATCCACCCTCCCATGGGACAGGCCTCGGAGCCTCGGATAGGATTCCTGGGCGGGACCCAGGTCCGCGGAGGGCAGGGAGGCTGTTCGGAGCAGATGCCACCAGCCGACAACTGTCAAGACCCAGGGACTGGCGGCAGCGAACTCCTGGGAGTTACTGCCACAGGTCGGCGCACCCGGGCCCAGTATAGCCTGAGGGTCACCCTGGGCCTGCAGGCGGCGGGAGTAATTCAGCCCGTCTCCTTCCGGCCCCACCTTTTCCCCCGAGCCTGAGCAGACGCCCTGAACCACCTACCCACTCTCTTCGGGTGCTGGAGGTGGCGCGAGGAGCCCTCGGGGTCCCGAAACACAAGTGCTTGGCAATTGCGGTTCCCGGAGTTCCGCGCCCCGGGCCCTGCGCGCCCCGGCGGTCTCCGAGACCCACTTGGCTCCTGCCGCTGCAGCCTACCTCCCGGAAGGGCATCGATGCATGCAGAGCCCAGAGGACCCAGGGCCCGGGACGGCGATCTTACCTAGGGCAGTCACGACCCAGCGACCAGCTGACCACTGTCTCCAGCAAGGAACCCTCCCCACAGGGAAGGGGCGGGGCGGGGCTCGGCCCGTGCGTCCATTGGCTAGGCAGGGGGGCGGGGCTTCGTGGCCACAGGTGGTGACTCCGCGGCAGGGGCGGGCACTTGGCCTTGGCGAGTAGGCCTGGAAGCGCTCCGAAGGGCGTTGGGTATGCACCTAGATTCCTGCAGGGGGTGCAGAAGAGCAGATTGTTTTCTTCCCTTATTTGTCTTGAGCACTTCCAGGGGGAACTCCAGGTTCAGGCCAGAAGCCTGGAGGGCTGTTCGCCTTGGCGGGATTGGAATCCAATTCCCACACTCCTCAGGTGAAGCAACCCCTCCTCCAGCTGGGTGCTCTGAGGAGAGAGGGTCTTCGTGTCGCTCACTCCAGCGTCTCCCAGGCCTGGCACACATTTCATGTTCAATAAACGTTGAGTGACAAGTAAAGGTCACAGGGGATCGAGTGCCTAGCCCGGCGACTCGCACACTGGGCCATGGGAGCGGGATCTGAGCGGGATCTGGGCGGGAAACTTGCTGGGTAGAGATGTCAAGTTGCCAGGCGCATGTGCTGGATGAGGGTGCGGGCCTGAGTCCGTAGTGCATTGTAGCAGAGTCCTCTCTCGCCTAAGGGTCTGGGCACTCCTCTCTTAGTGTTTGTCATTAATGGAGTCCTTACTCTGCTTGGACAGCGGACACTTGGTGGGGAAAGGCCAGCGATTATTAGATACCCGCTGTATATCTGAGGGCCCATTGAATATTCTCAAAATAATCAGGTAGAATAGGTTTATACTTCTTATTTCAAAGAGAGATTAAAAGATTTGGGGAAATTAACAGGGTTTTTTGTTTGTTTTTGTTTTTGTACTGGGGATGGAACCCAGCTTTTATCACTAAGCTACCTTTTATCACTAAGCTACGCAACCTTTTTTTTTTTTATTTTGAGACAGGGTCTCTCTAATTTGCTCAGATTGACGTTGAATTTGGGATCTTCCTGCCTTGGCCTCTGGAGTATCTGAGACTACAGCAGGCATACCACAACACCCAGCTGTTTGACAGTTTTACTGATGTTAAACATAGGCAACACTCCTAAATGTACATCTTCCTAGAAGCATATGCACTAGATATTTGTAGTGACTTTATTCGTAATAGGCAAACTCTTGAAGCAATTCAAATATCTATTAGCAGGATGAATGAGGAGACGAGCTGTGGTGTACTCAACACAATGGAATAGTACATAGCAGTGAAAGAACTAACGGGGGCTGGGGTTGTGGCTCAGTGGTAGAGCGCTTGCCTAGCATGTGTGAGGCACTGGGTTTGATTCCCAGCACCACATATAAATAAATAAAATAAGGGTCCATTGACAACTAAAAAAAAATATATATATATATATATATATATATATATATATATATATATAAAAGAACAAACTGGGTACACACCACATGGATGGATCTCTCCACCTATGAATGAGTAAACAGTGTTCAGTTAATGGAGCCAAATACAAAAGAACATATGATGCCTGATTCTAGGCACTGCTTCAAAAACAGGAAAAACTAATGTACATAAATAGAAATCATATCACTGGTTACCTCTGGGGAGGTTGCCTGGGGGAGGGGAGAGAGGCATACCTTCTAGGGGATGGAAATGTTGTTCTACATGTCCTGAGTGGTAGCTACACAAGTTTACACATACTTAAAAATGCAACAATGGGGGCTGGGTTGTGGTTTACCTGGTATGTGTGAGGCAGCACTAGGTTCGATTCTGAGCACTGCAGATAAATAAATGAATAAAATAAAGGTCCATCAATATCTAGAAAATTTAAAAAAAATGCATCAGTAGGGCTGGGGATGTGGCTCAGTGGTAAAGCGCTTGCCTAGCATGTGAGAGGCACTGGGTTTGATTCTCAGCAACATAAATAAATAAATAAATAAATAAATAAATGCATCAGTGGGGGCTGCGATGTAGTTTGGTGGTAGAGTGCTTGCCTAGCATATGCAAGACCCTGAATTAAATCTCCAGTAAGGCAAAAAACAAAAACAAACAAACAAACAAAAATCAATGGGAAGGGTTCAGGGGCACACACCTGTAATCCCAGTAATTTGGGAGGTTAAGGCAGGAGGATCACAAATTTAAGGTCAGCCTCAGCAATTTAGTGAATGTCTCAAAGATGGGAGTTGCTGGGGATGTAGCTCAAAGGTTCAATCCCTATTATGGGGGGTGGCAAGGGGAGAAAAGAAAGAAAAAGACAAGGGTTCAAACATTTACGATAGATTTGGTTGTGATCACATGCAAATGGCTAAGGAAAGATCTGACTACAAAGCCTGTGCTTCCAAACCAAAATTTAGGAAGTTATTGAAACACTTTTCAGGTGAGATTTTTATTACTGTACTTGGTAGCCCTGTGGTGTTTCACAACATTCAGAACTTACGAAGTGTTCTAAATCACACTCCAACTGTAATTAAGCCAGCTCCACATTGTGCAGCTAAAAGAGTGAGTGATGATGAGTTCAAAAATTAATGGTGCCTGCAACTCACCTTGACCCCTGTGGCTTCATATCTACTTCTTGCAGGAAGAGCATTGGGAGTGTGGGGCCTGGCTTCCAAATGCAATTGTCATCCCTGTCTTTGCTGGACCTTGAAGGGCATGAAAACAATCCAGCTTCCTGGCTGGGTGATTCCCTGTCACCTGTCAACAGCTTTTAAAAAATCTAGGCAAAGAAGGACTCAACATCATGCCTATGTTATTCTGACCAAAAGCTCACATTTGAAGCTAATGAACAAACCTCAAATGAAGGCCACCTAACAGCTGTCCTGTCCCATACAGTAGCTACTAGCCACATGTAACTATTTTGGCTGAAATTAAATAAAATTTAGAAGTCAATTCCTGAATCCCACTAGCCACATTTCAAATGTCAATTCATCTGGCTAATGGCTATCATGTTGCATGGCACAGATGCAGAACATTCCTATCAACCTAGAATGTTACGTTGGACAATGCTGATCTACAGAATAATTCTTCAAAAACATCAAGGTCACAAAAGACATGTTAAGACTGGAAAACAGTTCCAGAGTAAAGGACACCCAAGTGTCGTGACTATTGAATGTAATGTGGGATCCTACGTTGGATCTTGAGACAGAAAAAGGACATTAGTGGGACCAATGGTGAAATCTGAATAATGTTTTGTTTTTGTTTTGGTACTGGGGATTGAACCAAGAGGTACACTACCACTGAGATATATCCCTGTCCCTTTATATTTTTTATTTTGAGATGGGGTCTTACTAAGTTGTTGAAACTGGCCTTGAACTGTGATCCTCCTGTCTCAGCATCCTGAGTAGCTAGAATTACAGGCATGTAATCATTACCACGCAGAGCCTAAACAATGCTTTTGGCTTAACAATGTTCTCTCAGTGGTAATGTTCTGGTTTTGATCATTGTCCTGATTGTGTAAGATGCATTTGTATTATTTTTGTAATTGTGTTTGAAGTCTGAAATCATTTCAAAATTATAAAGTAAAATAAAATAATCTTCTGATTCCTACCTGGCTGTTTATATTTCTTTATCTCACATAGTGTGTTGCATTCCACCCTATTGCATGGGTACAATTTGTTGATTGTTGTCCACATTTTAGTGGGAGGATGGGCCAGAAAGTGATCTATGCCCCAGGCCAGTGCTCCAAGGAGAGCTGTGATCCACACATGATGACTCAGCAAACACCAGCTCACGTTTCCCCCAGAGAACAGAGGCCCAAAGATAGTGCCAGAGGGCCCCAAAAAGGGCCATGCTCTCATGGTTGAGTCCTTCAGGGAACGCTCCCAGAATAAACACAAAACAAACCCTGCCTTCACAACTTCCTTTCAAATAAAGTTTCATATGGCTATTCTTTAAACTATTGTTTTTTCATTCTGTTGATTTATTTTATATATGCTGATATTTTACATATATTTGTATATGTACACCACATACACACACACACACACACACACACAAATACTTTATACAGCTATGTGGGGAAAGCAGAAAACCAAAATCCGTACTCAATGCATGCCATCACCCAGGGGTAAAAAACTGGAGACATTCTGGTGTCTTTTCTTCTTATTTTTTCTTTCTTTTCTTTCTTTTTGGATTGAACCCAGGGATGCCTATCATTGAGCTACACTCCAAGCCCTTTTAATTTTTTCTGTTGAGACAAGGTCTCTGTATGTTGTCCCGACTGGCCTGGAACTTGGGATCCTCCTTCCTCAGCTTCCAGGGATTAGAAACTTGCACCCAGCAAGTGTCTTTTCTTCTGGTGTTTTCTTTTCAACAGTACAGTGTCTCTGAGTCTCATGTCTTCCTGGGCTCATCCTTTCCTGGACAAAAGTTTGTGAGATGGGTCAAGTTAAGATCTGGGCGACAACAGGGTCTTGGAAGGAGATTTCCTTACCTCTCAGGAAAAGCAGAAGGAGCAGGCTTGGATCGTGAGTGTTCTCCATAAGTCCCTGGCATAGCTGGTTCTTCCTCTGGGGCAGTGAAGCCCCTATAGTCAGCATGGACTCCGCCTCAGGCCTTAGGGCACTGCATTGCTAGAAGCCTGCAATTAAGGAGTCCTGCCACCCTTTCATTCCTTTTTGAAAACACAGATGTAGGCAGCAGATGATTACCAGGGATTTGCAGAGATGGTAAGGAAATGAGCATGTAGACAGGATATGTGGTCAAAATCAAATGTCCATAGTCACTGTGGTGGCACACACTTAAATTCCCAGCAATTTGGGAGGCTGAGGCAGGAGGATGACGGAAGATGGCCACTTAGAAGTCAACCTCAGGGGCTGGGGATGTGGCTCAAGCGGTAGCGCGCTCGCCTGGCATGCCTGCGGCCCCGGGTTCGATCCTCAACACCACATACAAACAAAGATGTTGTGTCCGCCGGGGCTTCCTGCCTCACTGATGTTCCCTACTTGCTGTCATCCCCTCTTGCTGTTGCT